CATGTTGGTCTGTGTACTGCACAAACAAGATGCAGGGAAACAAAGGCTTTAAAAGTGTCCAGACAAGCGTGTGCAAATGTCAGCTAACTCGGATTAATTGGCAATTGGGTACCTTGAGATGGAAGCTCGGGGCTTGTCATGATAAATATAATTAATGGCCTGGTATTATGTGGGGAGGTCAGTCTGGATGGGCTAATGTTCCCTTCTGGCCTTAATATCCAGATGTAACTATGAAATTTCATATTTCCTTTCTTCTCCTTGCCCATGTACTTGGGGACTCCAGGCTGGCAGAGGCAGGAATGTGTGCTGTCAGCTTCTTTGCATTTCCAGTAATGTAAAGCATCAGTTTTTATAAATCTCATTTTTGCCAGCCCCATCCCCTCCCTGGTTTGGGCTGATATCAAAAGATGATGGTTGAGGCGAATCAGCAGAGCATGAACTTCATGGAACTGTTTCTCTTTCTCTCCTCCTCAGCTTTCCCCCTCCCCCAGTGCCCTCTAATAAACCCCTGAATACCCAGCCTTTATTCTGTTGTTCAATCCAGTTATTTTCTTTACTTTTAGCAAACTCATCTGTGTCTGATCCTGTTGTCCTCCCTGTCAGATGTAGTAATATTGGAGTGAAAGGGCTAAATTGAGGCTGTTCTGGAACTCTTTGGGAGTCAGCTGAAGCGCTGCTGTGGAAGGGGGGTGCAGCCCTGGCTCCTTTGTGCCCAGGGAATACAATTTTCCCCTCTGCAAAGACTCTTGCATCATTTGCATTCCAATGGAACCGGCAGACTGGGTTTGGGTGTGGAGCAGACCTTGCTGTCAGCAGCAATTCGGCCCTTTTGCTACTGTCATTTGGTAAAATTCCCCAAACTCGCTGTTTAGGAAAGCGTGGAAGGTGTGTTGCTCCCATCATTTCCTAAATTTGGACAGATTTCCCAGGGCTTCGTGCTGAAGTCTGTGAGAAATGGGAATGTAACCACACCACCTGTAAAAAAATCCCCTTTAGCCTATCACTGAGTCTGGGCTGGCTCTTGGAGCTCCTGCCTGAGGCTTACCAAACAGAATTATTTCTTTTATTTCTGTGCCACGTGGATTTGGGACCCCAGGACGCTCAGGGCTGGAGCTGCTGGGATCCTGCAGTGTTCCTCCTGAGGTTCCTTCCACGCTGGGAATTACATGCCAGCTTCTGTCCAGAGCCCCACGTCTGAGATGTGACACCTGGAGGAATTCCCCCTCCTTTTCCTGGCTGGGAACGTCTTCCTGCTGCTGGGAATATAGAGCAAGCTCCAAAAGTAATACTGACAGACTTCAGAATTATGATACACCGGCGCTGCGGCGTAATTCTTTGTTGAAGAAGTTAGAGGCCTAAAATGTTAAGGCTTATTGTTATTCCGAGTTGATAATCTCTGCCTTGCTTTAATAATTTTTCCTCATGCCTGGATAGCCTGCGAGTTGCACAATAATCACTCACACAGCTTTGTAATCAATGCCCAAAGTAATAGGATTCCGCTGGCCAACGGCAATTAATAAATTTGTGTCTTTTTTAAAACACTAGCAAGTCGGGCCTGAAATACGACTGACTGGCTTTCCTCATTTGCATATTTATTGCAGTGGAAAAATTCTTGCCGAATGATTGATGTTGAGCCTGCCTCTTGAATTCCAAACAGCACATTATTATGAAATGAAAAATGCCGGCCATACAGTTGATTAAAGTTGAAGACAGTGGAATCGGTGTTTTTTAAGATTGTGGGAGAATTAAAGGCATATTTTAATAGATGTTGACAAGAAGTGAACTAACAAAAGCAAAGCAAAGGATTTGCTTGAAAAGATTTAATCAAACGTGTTTGGTGGGGGATTAATTGCTGGGGATGAGGAGTGCAAGTGGCTGGCAGCTGGATGTGAATGGGGAGCATTGTTCCGAGGCCAGCACATCGAGGGCCATTTTGACCTGGAGTTTAACTCCTGTCCCATGGCCCTTTGAAAGGAGGGAAGATTCCCCTTCTCCATCTGAGTGCTGGGATGCTAAACCTGTGTACTAGGATCCTCCTCATTGTGTGCAGCCATCGGAATGGGAGGTTGGATTCCTCTCCTCCCCTGGATGTGCGTGATGGGAGCTGGGCTGGGGGCACGGGGGCTGTACGGGGCCCTGGGGACTCTCCATGGAAGCAGGGGAATCTCCCACTTCTGTGCAGCTCAGCTTCTGCTCTGATCCCCCCCTTCCCAATGGCAGCCCTGCTCCAGCTGCTCTGTGTGAGCGCTTCCCCAGCCTGTGGAGGTGCAGGGAGGATGGAGAGCATTGCGTGCCTCTGATAGTCCAGTGATGCCACAGCCTCAGATTTAATTGAGGGGAAAAAGTCCTTTATTTCCAGTGCAGGCACGGGCTCTGAGGTGGAGCTGTGTGCTGGGTAGGTGGTGGTTCCTGCTGGTACATCCCAGGAAGGGTTTTTCCGTGGATTCAGCGTCCCTGCACGCGGCTGCTCCCGCTGCTCCGCGCAGCTGCTCGGGAGTGTGAAATGAGACCCCGTCTTCAGAGGTGATGGAAAGGAGGGCAGGGCTTTTCCAGTGTGGGAAGCTGTGGGAATGCAGGGCTTGGAGCGTGGGTGAGCCCAGCAGCCCCCCTGGCAGCCCATCCCCACGGGCACTGTGTGGATCCATGGCAGCTCTGGGATCAGTCCCTGCAGCCGGGTCCCCCCGCTCCAGTTTGTTCACTGGCATGGACAGAATTGATCTTGTGTGGTTTGAGAGCAGCAGGACAGCTTTCATCTCTGGTGGGTCTCCTGACACCCTGATCCATGGCAGTGCTGTGCCTGGATGGAGCTAAATACTCCAGGGCTACCTCCAGCCTAGCTGGAGGGCTGGATAAACCAGGGATGTATGAGGAGCACCGAAAGGCACACTTTGATTTACTGCTGCTGGCTCCCAGCGTTCTGGGTGGATTGATCTGCTGCCTGCTGGATCTGGAACAACTTTTTCCCTCCTGGACACAAAATGGAGGGGCTTCTGTGGACTCTTCAAAGTGGCTCTTCCAATGCAGTGTCTTAGCACTGACACTCTGAGTCCCATCTGAGTCCCAACCACGTTTGTTGTGTTGTTGTTTCAGACAAGCAGCAGCATTACAAAGTTCCTGCTGGTGGTAGGAGGGTCAGTCAGTGTCCAGCCTCCTTTCAAAATGACCCAGTTTGCATTCATGGAACAGTTTTGGCTTGTGCTGCCTTCATTCACAAAGGAGGCCAGTCTCTGCCCCGAAGCAGATGTGTAAAGGCAGACAGAGGGAAGAGGAGACTGGGAAGAAAACAGCCCCTTCTGGAATTAAATGTGAGATGGATAGAGCAGGGCTAGACGGGAAGAGAGCAGAGGATGGTGATATTTGGCTTCTGAAGTTGAGTTTACAGCACACTTAAGCAGCCAACAGTAGAAGTGAGAAGGGCATCCAGTAATGCTATTAAATACACAAGAACTGGGAACAGGGAAATTACCCAGCTGTAAGAGGCTCATGATGAAGCCACTGCCTGGAATAATTATCCCTCCCACCTGGTTAGACACACGGTCATTGTCTTCCCTGCCCTCCCCAGCCCCTTCACTCCAAATAAAATTGTTCCCCATCCCCACTTCTGCTGGGGTCTGTATCTCATAGCCCAGGGCAGCTTGAGCCTGTCTTTATTTCCTTGCCTGCTCACCGTGGCCCTGCTGTACCCCAGAAGGGCTGGAGTGCTACTCCAGTTGTAATTGCCAGGATCAAAGCTGCCTGGGGTGCATTAGCACTGCTGCTGGAGGAGAGGCAGCAGGGAGAAAATAAACAGTTTGGGAAGCTCTGGGGACATTTGGCTGCGTTGCAGGCAGTGGGAAGGATTTTGCTGGTGTAAGCTGTGCACTCAGGCTAGGGTGGGGGCACTTGGCTCCTGCAAGTGATGCTTTAGCTGCAGACACCTACAACAAATGTATTTTTAAGGGCTTTTGTCTGTTTGTCTGGTGGAATTGTTTTGATGCTCACACACGTCTGATTTACAAGTGCAGCAAACCTAATCCGTTAATAGGTTTATATAGAGGAGCTGTCAGAGTGTATCTAGAATGAACCATGGGCTCGGGGAGGGCGAGTCCAACAGCTGATCTGCAACAAAAATCTTAAAGCATCTTCTCCTTGACATTGCTGTTACTGAGGTCAGGCCATAATTTATCTGAAGGTGGTGACGACCGAGCAATATCACAGTGGGAACACACGGCAGATTGAGACCTCTGAGTGTCTGGGCTGATTTCTGCCTCTGTCTGCCTGAGGAAGATTTGCTGTTCACTCTACCCATGATCTCTGTGTCCCCCACTGAAAAGCAGAAATAAAAAAAAATAAAAAAAAAGGAGTAGGGGAAAAGCTCTCCCTGTTCTTTTTGTGCCATGTACAAAGGGAATTTTGGGAGTTAAGCAGAGCAGCCCCACGTGCTCTGTCAGCCAAAGTTCAGTTCAGGTTTTTGGCTAGGGGTGTGCCAAGTGTTTCACCTGGGAGAGCTGGCCCTGTGATGGATGTGCAGAGGGACAGTTTGTCAGCCTGGGCTGACACTTGTTTTCTCTCAGAGAGTCCTGCAGGGAGGCTTGTTGGTTGCCACAAAAGAGCTATTTTGGAGGAGCAGATGCTGTGGCAGTGTGCAGTTAACCTGTCCCATAGTCAGCTGGAACTGTGTGTCCTTGGAGAACTCACAGCCACTGGAACAGGCACTGCATGGACACAGGAAAACTGTTAGCTTCAAAAGCCTTTGGATACCCAGCATCACACCTCCCTTCAGGATCTGTGTGAACACCCTGGAGTGCAACTGCTCACCCCAATGCAAACCACATTCACACTGTGTATTGAGCAATTTACACTCCTCCACCGCATCTTTTCTCCCCTTTCTCTCTTCCTGAGGATCTCTGGGCCTGCAGTTCTTCTTTTCTGATCAGAATCTTCTCATTAAACCCGCCATGTCATGGTTTAAAGTTTCCTCCATAGATCAGATCTTGTCACTTGTGTCTCTTGTTCTGCAGGTTGTAAAGCCCTGGAAGCCTTGCTGAAAGTGCTGGTGGAACTTCAGGATGAGCTGCTTTATCAGTACCCAGGCACAAGGCATCTGGTCGATGGAAAGCAAGCAAAAACTGAGAGGTAAATGCAAAAAGAGATGGGATCTTTCTGAACCCTCTGGTCTCCAGCAGTCAGGACAATGCCCAGCCTTCCTGACCACCCTCACCCTGCTGCTCTCTCAGTTGCTGCTGTGTCTGGGTGACAGATACTCTGTTACTTAAATTCCTTCTGCCTGTGGGAAGTCTGGTTTATGATATTTCTGATAATGGAGCAGGGGCTAAACCGTGGGGCTTTTAGCAAAAATGCCAGTGTGGTGTGGGCTGGTGGTGGAGGGGCCATCGAGGACTGACACATTGCCTTAGGAGGGACAGGGTGTTTATCCTGAGCGCTTTTGTTCCAGTGAGGATGAAATTCCGAGCAGCAGCGATGAGGAGCCAGTGGAGAAGGTTCAGGAGAAGAGGAGGAGCCTCCCCAAACGGAAGCTGAAGTTTGAGGAGTACCCTGAGTTCATAGCCAAGCGCTACAAGGACTTCAGGACCTACAGGAACAGCACCCTGCAGAAGTGGCACGACAAGACAAAGCTGGCAACGGGCAAAATGGGCAAGGCAAGGCCTGCTTTGTGTGTGCTGACATGGCTCTCATGGAGCAGGGATCTGGGGAGCGAGTTCACACTGAAAAAGGGGAAAATTGGGTGGGATACATGGAATAAATTCTTCCCTATGAGTACGGGGAGGCCCTGGCACAGGGTGCTCAGAGCAGCTGTGGCTGCCCCTGCATCCCTGGGAGTGTCCAAGGCCAGGTTGGACGGGGCTTGGAGCAGCCTGGGACAGTGTAAGTTGTCTCATGGTAGTTTCTGTGTTCTGTCAACCATGCATCCCATCACAGCCAATCTCCAGCAGCAAATAATCTCCAGGAAAATGCCACTCTTGCTGCTGCAGGAGCTGTTTGTGGTTCCTCCCAGAAGCAGGGCCCTCTGAGGCTCTCCTCCTCCATGAAGTGTAGGCTTTAATACAATGGGTAATCATTCCACCCCGAGATCTGGGGTCTCCTCACACCCCTGAGTTGGTATTAATCATCGAGAAGTTAATCTGAACCAGAACAGCAAAGGCATTTTATTAAGCCAGGCGTCAACTCGCCTCAGGTTGGGAAGGGGGAGCGAGGGAGAAACAAATAAAAAATCCTCGCAGAAATCCCTGCAACGAGCCCCAGACCCCCTCCTCCTCTTGGAACTGCTTATCCAGTGACATGGAAAGATAGAGGAGCAGTGGTGCCTTGAGGAGAGGCTGTGTGTGTTATCTGACACTGCTTAATGCCGTGCAGGGCTTCGGAGCCTTCGAGCGCTCGGTGCTGGCGCAGATCGATCACGTCCTGCTGGACAGGGAGCGATTGCTGCGGCGCACCCAGACCCGCCGCTCCCTCTACACCGTGCTGGGCAAGCAGGAGCAGCAGCCTGCCCCAGCCCCTCAGCCTGGGCCTGACAACTCGGTAAGGGGGGGTTTATTTCTCTAACTCATCCTGGGAAACTGCAGAGCAATGGGCGCGAGCCTTTAGCGGGCGTTGTGCTTGTTTGGGAGATGGATGGATGGATGGATGGATGGATGGCATTATCTCCTGTCCCAGTTCCTGACAGTGGAAAACAAGGTTTGAGCTGGGATTGTGCCCCCTCCCTAGTGCTGCTCACTAAATCTGGAGGTAGCGGCAGCAAAACTTGGTTTTCACTCTGCAGTTTAGAGTCTTTAACCCAGAAAGCCCCTTTTAAAATCATACTGCATGTAACCTGCAGAATATGTTAGTAGTAAGCCCTTTATTAATTTAGTATTTAAGAATGAATAAATACTCAATTCTGAGAGATCAGGTAGAATTACTGGACTTGCAAGATGTATTTTTGCCATTACATTAAAAATATCTGTAGTATTTTGCCAGAAAGTCTTTGCACAGTCCTATTTATTTCCCAGTAAAGGCATCATAAATCTATTTTGGCATTGGCAGCGTTTCTGCTTTGCCTTTAAATGTATTCCTGGTCCTTAAAAGCTGGTTACGTTGGAAGTTTTTCCCCATTCCTTCATATCATCAAGTGTGTTTACAAGCTGCTGCATGTGATGTGTCTGGAGTTAGGGACAGAAATGCGCACATATGAGCTCTCAGTATTTCCTTGATGCTTCCAGGAAGTCCTCCCTCCCTCAGATTCCAACAGGCACCTGAAGGACATCGATGAGGAGATATTTGATGATGATGACTTTTATCACCAGGTAGGTGGTGGGTAAACGTGTGGTGGAATTATGGCTCCAGTTGGGTTTCAGTTCTTGCAGAGAAAGTGCAGTTGGTTCTGTGCTCCATATTTCTCTTTACCTGTAAAACTCAGTTACCTGTTTTAACACCCCAAATCTCTGCAAGTCCCTCAGGGCACTCTGCTCTCAGTTTTTCTCTAGGGCTGTGTGAGTTTGAAGGTGCCCTGTGCTTGGGAACTTGCTGCTGGTGCTTGGGTGTGTCAGGGCTGCAGGAGCTGTTCCTGTTGTTCTCTCTGGGGAACGCAGGAGGAAAAGCTCTGAATCCTCTCAAGGTGACAGTTCTCAGAGTCCCCTTAGGGAAAGCAGTTCCAGGAGATCCTCAGGAGCACTGAAAGTTGCTCTTGTCTCAGGCTAAATCATCTCATTTACCTGTGGGGACTGGGAGAGCTCCTGGGCTGCTCCAGCGCTTTTCTTGGAATTGGGCCAGCTTGGATCCAGGCCAGTAATTCCTTTTATTTGCAAAATTCTTAGAAGCAGGGAATCTGCACCCAGTGCAGGGAAAGCAGTGTTTGTAGTTTATTTAATAGAGACAGTGCCAGCTTTATGAAAACTGGAATTGTCACTTATTGAGGAATGTGTCCTGTGAGTCCTTCCAGTGTGTGTGAAAACCTGTGCCTGCTTTGGTGATCCACACAGAGCCTGAACCTCAGGACTAAACAAATATCATTATATTACTAGAAAGACAGATTTTTTGATCTGAATAGTTATTAGAGTGGCCAGTAAAGTGCTTGGGGAGTAGGAGAGAGCTGTTGCCATATGAAGATGCCAGGCTCCAAATGGTGATGGGAGATGAACTGTTCTGTTGGGATTGAAGGGGCCAAATCTGTAGAGATACTGCTGAGGTGGAATTTGGGGTCCAAGTGGCCAAGAAGCTCAGCTTTGGGGGCAGATTGGACCCCAGAACACAGAAGAAATGAAGCTGGTATAACAAACTCATGGAGTGGAGAAACAGCTGAGGTTGACAGTGCAAGGACCTGTGCAGAGGAGGTGCTTCTCAGCCATGAAATGTTAAATTTTTTAAAAGAAAACAGCAATGGATGAGTGTCCCCATCTTTCCCTCTAATGACTGTAACTGTGCTAAATTGTGATTTCAGAAATATGAGCAGGACCAGCTTAGCTTCTCCCCTCACTGGTTAATTGGGGTGCTGGGGTTAATCTAAATTAAAACTTAAACTAATAGAGGTCATTGAGGGAAGAGAATCACCTGAGTAAAACAAATGGGTCTGCCAGGCACAACTGTATCTTGGCCATTTCCCAAGAGGGAAGTGGCAGCAAATTGGAGCTGTTTGGGGCCCGGGCAGAGGTGAAGGATGGGTGCCAGGGGCTCGCACGGCCCCTCCGGAAGGCAGCGTTCCAGATTGCATTCCCTGCTGCTCCAGCTGCAGGAGAGGGAGCAGCCAGCAACATCTGGCAGCACAGCCAGGCATGGGTGCCACTTTGGGAACCCCATGGACTGGAAATCTGGTGCTTAGCCTGGTGCAGGCTTTAATCACTTCCCAGTCCTTGGCAGCGGCTCCGACAGCTTCTCCCGGCCTCGTACATCACACACAGACATCTGCTGAGCCGCTGGGCAGCTGCACATCCATTTTCCTCTCTTGCTGGGGGCTTTTGATCTCTCTGCCTCCTCCTCTCCTTCCCTTTCCCCTCTCCTCCATCCCCAAAATGCTTCCTGGCAGAGAGGATCCGTGCGGATCCCCAGGGTTTGCGGGGTGCTCCGCTGCCCTGGCTCGTGTCCCGTGCTCAGCGGGGTTTGGCAGAGGTTGGAGCTGGAGCCAGTTCAGGGATAAGGCTGAGGAAAGTGGCTCTGTGTTTTCTGTCACCTCCCAATTAAATTGGGTTCATAAAGTGCTTTCCTTTATTTGTCAGGGCGCTAAGCCTGAGCTGAGCGTTGCATTGAGAGCGGGGAGAGCGCAGCACAATGGAGCTGACAGGGCCCTGAATGGCTCTGCTTTCCCTGGGTCAGAACTGAGCAGTGCTTTTGTGTGTGTGTGTGTGTATGTGTGTGTGTGTGAGAATGTGTGTGTGGCTGCATGTGGACATGGGAATAAAACCCAGGGAGGGAGCTGCTTCTCCAGGAGTGATCCAGCACCAAGCTGAGGGTGCTCCCAACCTCTGACCCCTGTGCATAACACTGATTGCAGCTTGCATTTCAGCACCTGCCTCTCCCTCCCTGTTTAAATCTCCATCCAGGCTTTCCTTGGGATTGTTTTCACTCTTCTAAATAACATTTTATAGTTATTAATTAATTTTGATTACTGCTTAAAAGGTAAACATTCAGATAAAGAACAGCACTGGAAAGCAGTTTCCTCTATGTGTCAGTGTGAAATTAGGCAAGTAAAAATGAACCCAATTTGATGAATGTGCACAAGTTAATGATAACAGAATAAGTAGTTCTACTGTTTTATTATAGATTATAATAAAAAACTCTTTAATTAATCTGTTTTTCTTCTGGTGAAAAACAATTTTCTTGTCCAGGTCTTAATATTCAGTAGAATTCAGCAGGTGGGTCTGGTGGAATTTTGTGATGATTCAGGATTTAACTCTCTTCTGCCTGTTCATCCCACTTTGCCTTTTCTCCTATTCTTTGCTTGTTTTATGAGCAGTTACAATTTTTATTTTGATGACCCCTGTTGGATGGTGATGGAAGGCTGAGCTGAATAATGCAGTGAAATATTTTTATTTGGGTGGGAATAGTTAAAGTGTTTCAGAAGGCTTCTCGTTACTGGCAGCAGTGAGAGGCTGGAGCCCATTTCCTTTTCCTTTAAACTCTCCTTCATACATGGATTTTAGGGAAGAAAAAGGCTTTTTATTTTTAGAAGTCATATTTACGTGGAATTCATTACAGCTGATATTGCAGCATTAAGACTTAAAATTCCAGCCTGCTACCAGGGAGCTGCTGCTCTGACATGCTACAGTGGAGATTTTATTGTTAGGTTGAAATACTCCTCTGGTAAAGGAGAGAGTGGAAATTGGTTTATTTCCAACAGGAATTAGGTTAGTGTTCATATGCTAAGTGTTCCACTGGTAGCAGCTCTTCCCAGAACAAATGTTCATCACTGCTGGCAGCAGGTATGCCTAAGGAGAATTGGGAATATCCGTAATCCCTTTTTTCCTCTGCTCTCCTGCTCCCTCCTGCCCTGGTTTTGGTGGTGTCGTGCATTTTGGGACAGCCCACGGCCACCAGTCCTGGCTGTGGGCAGCAGAGAGGAGGGGGAGCATCCAGGGAAACACCAAAGCCTTCCAAGAGGGGTTCTCATCCCCCCACAGCTGGGATTTACCCAGGTCAGCGTCCTTAAACCCCGCTGGGTGACTCTTTGGAGAACTTCACTGGGGGGTGAATTTCCCCTGGTGTCCCCAGCAGTTTCCTGGGCCCACAGTGTTGTGTCCTCTCCCAGGACTTTGATCATGCCATAAACAAGGAATTACCAATCCAGGGAACTATTAAAAGTCGATAATGGTGAAGAATAGAGAGAAGCCTGGCTTTGTGACAAGCTGGTTTACCTTAATTAAACCGGTGAGTGATTAATATGGACAGCTGATCTTGTGGCTTTAATTAGATGCATTTAGAGTTTTGTGTGAATAAGAGATGTCTCGAACCATCCCACAGGTTAATGGCAATACAATACTCTTATCACAGGCATGTATCTTTCAAATGGCTGGGTAGATGGTTAATAACACATTTTAAAGCTTGATTTGGAGCTTCTCTTAATGGGTTATTCGAAAATAGGTAAATCTGTGCATCTTACACAAACCTGAATTTGAATAAAATGGCTTGTAAAAAGAGGCTGTCCAGTGATTTCAGCTTGCATTTTATTAAATATAAAAAATAAGTTTTTAAAAAGGATTTCAAGGGGTTTAAAATAATATTTGAGCTGCAAACTTAAATTTTCTCTGGTGATGGTAGAAATCCAAATGTTACACGGCTACTGAGTAGGAGCTTGAAAGGATCTACAGATGGACCTTTTTTTTTTAATTTGATTTGCTCTGTAAGGTCTAAAACGAGTGAGCCTTTTGTCACAAGGCTGATTTCAGCTCTCCTTAGCTCTTTGTCTCAACTGGAAATTCTTAGGGGTCTGCAAATCAGAAAGGTCAGCGAGTGTAGGATTAGAAACACTGATAGATAGTGCATGAAAATGAGACCTAACCTCTAAAATGAAAATTGACCTCTAAAATGAGAAATGAGTCTCTGTTACCCTTGAACAACACCCTGATGGCATTTCCAAGTCCCTCTGACTCTGCCCAGTGGCCTTGGTGTGCATCTCGCTGCCTGGCACTGAGGAAACTCCTGCAGGGGAGTTGTAGGAGAATTCTTCAGTGCTTCCAGCAGGGATCTTGGCTTTGGTGTCAGGACAGCGTCTGGGCTCTGCAGCAGGAGCTCTCCTGGCAAACATCAGCACCTCCTGCCGAGGAACATTCAGCTGCCACTGCCAGCTTCCCTCTGCTCCCATGGTTTGTCCTCCTGCAGCTCGTGGCAGGAGCAGCAGGGACTGGGAGTGAGCTGTGGGATGGGGCTGTGCCTCCCTGCAGTTGTGTTTGCTGCCGTGGGAGACTGAGCTGAGGTTCTGCAAGTTCAGTAAGAGGTGAAGGAGGGAAAGCAAAACAGGATCTCTTTCAAATCAAAGCCTTTTGATGCTAGAATTGCCTGACTCTGTCTTCACACATCAGGGCTTAACGCTGATGGTGATTTACTCACACTTCCTAGTTAATAATTAGGCATTGGGAGACACCATATATCACTCCTAATGGAATATATGGGGTCTGATGAGAGTTTTCTGTTTTGACTAATAAATTTTAAGCAGAATCGCCAGGCTTAATGAAATATTACCGTTTGGGAAGTGGTTTAAGTCTTGTGCTGGGAAAACAGTGTTGCTTTATTCAGTAAATGAATTTATCATTCACTCTATATCCTGAGCCCTGGCTGGCTCTGGAGCACGGGCTGGATGCAAGACTCTGAACCAGAAAGCAGAAAACTAATCAAATCCTGCTTCACAGCTTTTATTTCCATTTCCTAATTTCCCTCTTGCTCCTGCTTGTTTTTTTTACTTCTCCCTCATCTTTGCCTTGCTCTGCTCTCCCAGGCAGCGTCCCCAGTCCCACTGGGGAACATTTGGAGCCCTGGAAGGCCTTGTCAGCCCCAAGGTCAATAGAATTGCTTCAGGGTTAGGAACCTGCCCCAAAAATGCACCTTGGAATCATGGAATGGTTTGGGTTGGAAGAAACCTTAAAGCTCATCTTGTTCCAGCTCATCACAGTCAGGGACACCTTCCCCTGTCCCAGGCTGCTCCAAGCCCTGTCCAGCCTGGCCTTGGGCACTGCCAGGGATCCAGGGGCAGCCCCAGCTGCTCTGGGCACCCTGTGCCAGGGCCTGCCCACCCTCACAGCCAGGAATTCCTGCCCAATATCCCATCCCACTCCCACCAGTGGGCACAAGTGTAGGATCTTGGGGCACTCCTTGGTGTTTCAGTCTGGATTTCTGGGCCAGCAGGAGGAGCCAAGCCCTGCAGGAAATGCGCTGCTGCTGCTGCTGCTGCTGCTGCTTCCCTGGGAGCACAGGGTGGGTGTGTGTGTGACATCTCTGTGCCTCAGAAGAGACAGCAAACACCCCTCACTGCTGGAGCAGGAGGAAACCACTCTCACCTCTCCTCACCACTTGTGGCTGCTGCTCCAAACCTCCCTCCCACCTTGCTTTTGACAGAATATTGACTGGAAAGCAAGATCCCATTTCTGCTTAGCCTTAAGGGCAGCTGTTTGCAGAGTGGCGGTGTTACACAGGTTTACTGTGTCGTATGTCTGTGTAACACTGGATTTGGATCTTGTATTTAGCTGCCAGAAGTGACTGTGATGAAGTGGCAGAGATAAACTGATAGATTGTGTGCCAGAAAGATGTTGGGAATCAATCAGATAAACAGGGCAGAGAAGTAGCTTGCTGTTTTCTAGTGATAATAAACCAGTGGCCTGGCTCCTGGAATTTTTAAATGTAATTGCAGCAGTAATAATCTCCAAAAATAAGCAAGTAGAAAAAAGAAAATAGTGTCAGGTTTTTAATTATGTTTGAATCACTCTTTTTTTTCTGGTAATGTGATGTATGCCTCGAAGGAGAGGAAGGTACAGGGTGGAGGAAAAGCATCCTGCATCCTTTCTTCCCTGGAATTGCCTGGATTCTGGTTCCAGGTGGGTCTGTTTCAGGTGTTTCTGAGCTGAGGCAGTAATGTCTGTGCTTGCTGCATAAAGCAGTTTGTTCCCCTCGGTTTTGGAGGGTTTATTTCTGTTCCTTGTGCTGATATCTTGGCCAATACCCAAGGCATGGCACGCACGGTTTGCAGCGAGCGGTGATAAACACGCAGCACCAGTCAGGGATCCAAAAAGGCTGTTCACAACATCCTTTGGCTGCAGGAAGCAAAGAGGACAAACCCCAGCCCTCAGGACATGAAAGGAAATAGAAAAGGCTGCCTGAGCATTCCTGCTGTAGCTATAAAAATGATTTTGCTGTGCTGTTCCTCGAGCAAGCATCGCTGCCCAGCTCCTGTTTGGGAATTGTTTCAGCTCCCCCTGCCCTTCCCCAGGAGTTGGGGGGAGCCCTGTGGGGCTGAGCTTTTCCTGCACATCTGCCCCTGTTTCACCTGTGGGAGCTGGCTACACAACAACTGTGCTTATTTCACGTGGGATTTTTGTCTTTCCTGCAGCTCCTGCGAGAGCTGATTGAGCGTAAAACCACTTCCCTGGACCCCAACGACCAGGTGGCCATGGGCAGGTGAGTGGGACTGGCTGTGACATCTCTGCCTTCAGCCCGGCCAAGTGACCTGTGCCCTTCCAGTCCAGCTCATTGCAGAGGGCAAAATCCTGAGTTCACCTGGAAAAAGGCATTATGACATTAGGCAGGAAGCTCATCCTCTCCAACATATTCCTGAGTTATGGATCACACAGTCTGACTTGTCAGCTGTTTGTGTGTGATCCTCTGGAGATAATTCCCCATTGGAAAGATTTGGTCCAGGTATTTCTGTCTCTCAGTGGTTCCTGCAGCACTAAGTGGCACAAAAACCGTCTGCCCACTGCTGAAATTTGGCTTTGTGTCTTTGTTAACTCTGCTTTGCTGTTGTTTTAGAAGAGTGAACCTTCTGACATCAGCTAAAGCAATTCCTGTGTATCCCTCCTGTAAGAAAAGATCCTGTGCAATTAAAACAGTATCAGGGGATGTTCCCTGCATGCAAAAGTAAAATATAATTCTATGCAGTGAAGCTCTTATTTCTCTATTTAATTCTAGAGTTAGAAAGTAGTTAGAAATCTTCCAAATGCCACTTCATGAGCAGTGTACATTGAAATGGAATTTCTCTGATTCAGAAAAGTGTAAAAGCCAAGGAAAGCTGGAAAAGCTGGAGTTGGGCTCTTCCCTGAAACAGTTTTGGGGTGGGGGGGGGTTGTCTATCAGGAGGGGAAGAAAATGCATCAGGAAATTTTGTGATGGTGAAACAACTTTTCTCCTTTTAAAATATCACCCAGATTTTAGTGCAATGTGTCAAATTTATTTTGTGTATGTCTGGAATATTATGGAAAGCTATTCACTGTGATTTAAAACGATATAGACAAAATTACATTTAAGTGGTGATTGCATTGTACATTTATCTGACTTTACAATAAAATAGATTACAGTAATTAAGATTATATTAAGATTGCAGTAATTGGATTTTGTTAGATTTTTTCCCTGATGTCGAGTTTTCATTGTATAAATCAGGTGAGATGACGCTCATTTCAGTTAAAAAAAAATATTTATAACCAGGAGAAGTTTTTCTCTGCTGGAAACTTCTTTGACTTGAGGAAGTTCTGGCTGAGAAGTGGAACTTTTAATACAGTTGGGGATCAGAGAGTCTTTCTGGGAGTGCTGAGTGTCTCTGAAGTTGTGTTGCTGTTGTTCTGCATTCCCCAGGCAGTGGTTGGCCATCCAGAAGTTACGGAGCAAAATAAAGAAGAAAGTGGACAGAAAAGCCAGCAAAGGAAGGAGAATCAGGTGGGTGACACCTTCTGCAAGCACACACAAGTCCTGATTTTTTTTTTTAAAAAAAAGAAGGAAGTCTGAGAGCTCTGTGTGTGTTTTACCCCAGCTGGCTCTGGAGGATGTTGGCTGATTTGTGACTTTGAGGGCATTTCTGGGTGCTGATGTTCATGGAGCCTGCAATAAGAGCTTGGTGGCATTGCCCCAGTCAGGTTCTGTGGAAACTCCAGAGAAGGGTGCTCACATGTCCCTGAGCCATTTGGGGCTGTAATTTCCAGAGAGAGCCAATAAACCCCTCGTGTGCAATTTATATTTCCTGACTGAGACGTGGGCAGCACCTCCAAGGGAAGATGTGCAGAAATACCTCAGGTAAATCTCTATTTCTCACTGAGTGCCAGTTGGAATTTGGTGTCAAATCCCTCTTTGCTGGTAACTGACATCACAGCTTCCTTCATGTCTGAATCATTTCCCTCCTGGATCACTCATTTGGGTTGAACTCAGTGGAAGAATCTTCCACGTGGGAAGGGAAGCAGCCTGGAGAGCAGGGGGTGTTTCCCCTTTGCAGAGCAGCTCTCTGAGTCTCCCTGAGATCAGCATGATTTGTGGTGGAGGAGGGAGGATGCTGAAAAGCTGCTCTGCTTCCTGAAAAATCCACCACATTAACCATCCTTTGTGAGTAAACTATAAATCCTGAGTTTAGATGGCATCTGATAGAAAGTCAGTGGAGTCAGTCTGGGTCTGGCCTGGCATAGCAATTTTTAAGATAGATGTCATAAGATAATTTATTGAAAGAGGGAAGAGCTACTTTGTTGGCCTGAAAAGCCTATAATTATTGACTATCAATATTCTTTTCTGTCAGCATCACACATAATTGGATATATTCAGGATTCAGTCAAAACTCCTGACAACATCACACAACTGAGGCAGCCTCGTAAACCTCCAGGAATAATGGGGAGGTCTCTCATTGTGTGCAGTCTGTGCCTTCAGCAGTCCTGGGAGAGCAGCTCTCCCCCCCTAGTCTTCCATCTTAGGTGCCTCTTTTGGCTTCTTTAACTAAAAGTTGTACTGACCCTGCAGGGAAAATAACAATAAAAGAAAGAAAGTCTCATTGTCTGTGCTTGGGATTAAAATGCAGTTAAGCTCCTACATTTTTCAGAATAGGAAAGTAGAGCCTAAATGAATGTTTTTAAATAGTTGGTGCTCCCACTGAGACTTGGTGTCACCCCAGGCAGATCCCTGACCCTCTGTTCTTCCTTCTCTTTCTCTAAAATTGGGACAGCAGTGCTTAAATTTGCCTTCATCACTTTGAGATCCTGGAGAGCCAAGTATATAATACCAAGTTTCATCTTTCTCCTTAATTCTTCATTTTTAGCAAAGCTTCAGTATTACAGCCAGTTTGGATGCAATGTGCTGGATTATTGGAGTGGCTGAGGATCTTCAGGTGCTTCCAGAAGCAGCCAGTCTTCCACTTGGCATGAGGGAAATTTGGGCACTAAGAGGGGAAAGAAGTTCATCCAAAAACCAAACTTGAGAAACCTGCTGGAGGGAGCTGTGGAGGAGGGATGTTTGCACACCTCTTTCACATGTCAGTGTTTTCTGATCTGTGCTGCTGCAACTTGGGGTGTCTTTCCCTCCACTAAGTGAAATATTTCACATCTGCTGGACTGGGGTTTTCAGAGCCCTGATTTAAAAAGCAGTCAGATGTGGACAAACAGCTGGTGCCAGAGGCTGAGTGGCCACAAGCCCATGCCAGGACAGCCCTGGCTGTCCCCTGGAGCTCTGCACAGCCCAGGCTGTCCCCTGTAGTTTGTGGCTGCTCCTGACTCCATCCCTGCAGCATCACACCAGGGCAGCTCTTTCCAGAGCCAGGACAAAGGCTGCAGGGTGCAGAGAAGCCTGGTGTGAGGCTGTGCCTGCTGAGCCTTCTGAGAGGGGCTGTGAGCTCAGCATCAGGGAAGGTTCCTGCACAGGCAAACAAAAGGGAGTGCAGAGGTGGCACAGTGGAAAGGTGATGCTGGGCAAATGCTAGTGAATCCTTTTGCCTGCTATTTGTCAAGCTCTAAAAATAGCAGCAGCCTGGATGGAACACCTCAGGCTGGGCTAGGCAGGCAATGCACACAAACACCTGGGTTTGGAATCCCCTGCCCCTGCACACAGGTTTAAAGCCTTCTCATTCAGAGGTTCTCAGTACCCTGTTAGATTTTATGTCTGGTCCTTGAATATAAATCACGAAATCCCTGCAGGCTCCTGCCCAGGGTGGCAAATGGGAAGGAGATCCTCTTTCTGGAGGGGTAGGAGAGCTTGCAGCATTGTTTGGGTGATGAGAACACGGCCCATCCCATCTGTGCACAGGCCTTCTCCTGTCTCCTCCTCCCCTTGATTTAACATGCTCTGTTTGCAGGTTACTCAGGGTAAGATTTTCCAGCTCTGGAAATGGCTCCAGAGTGGGATTTTGGTGTCCTTCAGGGCCCTGCAGAGCTCTGAGCAGATGGATGCTGGAGCAGGTCTGGTGCTCCTGCTGCCTGCAGTGGGCACAGGTGTCAGCAGGGGGTGAGGATGCCAGCTGAGGGAGGGCTGGGAAGGAGGGGCTGTTTGTCTGTCTGACCCTTCAGGGCTGTCTGTCTGGGGCTCAGTTTGTGGCTGCTGCTGTGCTGGCCCTGGCTGGGATGAGGAGTTTGCTGTTCATTGTGTCACCTGATTATTCCTGTTCTGAGAGGGGAGGGGGAATTGCCAGCTCCAGCTGGCCACTCCTTAGGGATCAGCCCCCAGGCCAGCCCTGCTTTCCCTGGGGGAGCTGGGCTGTTCCTGGGCAGGCAGGCAGCATTTCCTGCTCTTGAGCAGCTCCTGATGTGCTGCCTGCTGCTCTCCTCAGGTACCATGTCCACAGCAAGCTGGTGAGCTTCATGGCACCTATTGACCAGTGCACAATGAATGATGATGCCAGGTGAGTACAAGATTAATTATGTTTCTCAAATGGCTCCATGACAGCGTGGTATTGACCTGTTCTTCAGCCTGTCACCCTCTCCATTCCTTCTTATCAGTTCCCCATTTGTCACTGGCATCATAGCCTGGGTGTCTTGGTCACATCTGTCCTGGCAGCCTGGCTTGAGCTTTCACTCTGTAATTACTGTGACACCAAATGAGAAGTTGTCATAAATCTCAGCACCTACGTTTTGGTTGCTGCTTTAGAACTCCTCCCATTTTGAAATTTCCCTGTTTTATGGAATTAGTTTGGAAATACTGGTCTACCTGGTGTCTTCAGGTAGAATCAGAACTTAAAAAGAGCTTCTCTTCTAACAGAAATGACAACTGTATTCTGGTTAATGTGCAGTTTCTTAGCTCAGTTAATAAATGGAATAATTCTCCAAGATTCACTCGACTTTTATGCTGCTTGTGTTTATCTCTGTTTAAAGAGTAAAGGATTTTATTGGAAGACTATAATGTTTTAATGTAGTAATTAGTAAAGAAAGCACCAGTGAAGTTTTGTGCATAGTCACCAGGCAGCTCTCCCACACAGCCACCCATATTTCTTTGGCAATGCACTTTAACCCCAAATCTGCTTGTGAAAAGGAGGTGGAATAATTTTTCCAGTGAATGGACAGAGAAAGCTTGAGAAACATCTTTCCCTTGGGTTGTGGAACATGTTTGTGCTTTGTGAGGGAGAGATGTTATTTGTCTGTTTGTGAAATGGAAACCAAATACCTGCTGCTCTCTTGCTGCTGCCTTTTGGGGGATTGCAAGAACTTATGGATGAGAAGTTTTGTGTTCACAGGACCTGTGCTGTCTCATCAGTGCATCTTTCTCAGAGTTGTTTTACTCTGGGGTTTTTTCCCTCTCCTTTTTAACTTTTTTTTTTTCAAAGCAAAGCCCCAGCTGCTCTGATTTTTCAGTCCTCTCACCACAAAAAGAAATATGGTGGGCTCCAAGCCATTCCTCCAGCCTCCTAATGTTTAGCTTAAATTTCCCTCTGCTGTAATTTAGGACCATAATTTCTTGAGGTGTTTCAGGTGGGAACAGGTTCTTGCTTCCTCTTTGCAGCAGCCCTTGCACATTTGAGTGGGAATTCTTGTGAAAAGCTGGGTGTTACTTTTTGTCTTCGTGCCCAGTTTCCACCATTTGTGTCTGCATCCATACACAAAACACATCCAAAACACTGCAGTGGGGTCTGAAAATGAGGACTTTTGGAGGTGTTTTGGTTCAGCTCTCCCCAAGTGAAGAGATCTGCTGCTCTCAGTCGTTTGTTTGAAAATCAGAGCTGCTCTCTGGGGTCAGCTCCACCTCTCTGGTTAAATGTCCCTGCCCTTGGCACGAGCCACAAAACCTCTGTCCAGCACACAGCCAGACCACACAGGGCAAGAGGAATTCAACATCTGCAGGTGAATTAAACACAACAGGCCATGCTTGTGTGCTGGAGAGGGAAGCAGCAGTGATAGCAGCTTCCCTTTGTGGCAGAAGCAGATGATTTTATTGTTTGCAGGTATGAATTACTGGATTGAAAATGCACATGTACACTTCACAGAGTGTGTTCTGAGTTTTATTTTTTTTCTGGCCAGGCACTTAAAAAGCATGACCCCAAAATGAATACATCTGTGATCAACAGGGCACTGTGCTGTAGTGAGAGAGATTTCCCAGTGCCAGTGTATAAAATGGATGTAGAAACAGCTGGCAGAGCTTTCCCTCTGAGTTTTACCAGTGGCCACAGGGGCAGGAAGGCAGCAGTACATAAATAAATATGTATCTGCAGGTGTGGGTGAGCTTGGGGGCGGTGCAGAGTGCAGGGGGTGAGCGGTGCTGTGGTTCTGGTTCTTCCTTGGCTGTGCAAACAGAAAGAAAAGAAATCCCTGTGGGGAGAAGCAGCCTGAGCACTGCCAGGAGAAGGGGATCACTCCAGATTTTACAGCCTGAATTCGAGAAGGGAAGCACACAAGTCAAAGAGCTTCCTTTGTCAACATCCCTGCCACTTTCTGCCTGACTCTTGCTGCTGGTTGGGATGACAGCATTGCTGGAGGCATTAATCTTCCCCTTGCCCGATTTCCAGGCACCCCAAGCATGGGCAGGGCTCTTTAACCTCCTGCTCACATCTTTTATGTTGTAATGTGTGGGGCACTGGTGGCCTCCAGCCCTCCTCCTTTTTAACCCCTCTCTGGTAGTATTTTAAAACACACACTGGGCAGTGATTTTTATGGTTACCTTGGGGTCTGTGTTTATAGACTTTAACACATTTATTGTCCTCGTGGGCCGAGGTTTTTCTAATCGGCCCAAGGTCACTGCTGTGTAAATGCTCTGCCTTGGGACAAGGAACCCAAAGGCAAAGCTGGGAGTGTGGTCTGGGGTTGTCCAGAGGAGAGAGGAGCTGTCTGGGGCAGGACAAGGTTGGTTGTGGTTTCTCCTGGCTTTGAGGGTGGCCTCATGTGGTTTCCCCTTCTTGGACTTCCCTTGCAATAGGTTTTTGCCATCATCAGGTCAGGGATCCTTCAGTAGCACCTTGAGCAGCAGGGTGGGAGCAGGCCAGTCTTTGCTTTGGGAAATGGGGCACAGAGAGGTGAAATGGGGCACAGAGAGGTGACAGAGATCCTTGAGACAAGAGCCTCAGGGGATTCCTAAAGATCCCACCCAGGACTGGGCTGGAGCTGAGGTTGAACCCAGACCTTCTGTGCAGTCA